AATACTTAAATTGCCCTACCCTGCGTTTGAGACGTTTAGACTCTGCAATGTCATATAGATGGCTCGTCAAATCCCGAGGGCATAGGAGCAGGCGTCGATGGCCGAATCACTAGCATATTGTCTATGTGCGGAGATAAATCCGAGCAGGAACTATCACAACAGGAGAATTGTATTCATCGGTGATGGCTAGCCGACTCTCAAGACTTTTGCATATTTCAATGGCACATCATTGCTTTCTTTCGGATACATAACTTCACACTTTTGGCCATGAAAGTGGCGATCTCGGAACCATTTAGATCTGATCTCTACCTGACATTAGCTTCAAATACGATTAAAGGAGAAGAAGGAGTGAAGGGAAACAATGAAGGAATCCAGCAGGATTGCCCAGGCAAAGTATTCTTTCTTGGTTGATATAGTTTTAAGAGATGTCAAACTCAATTCAAACTCTCAAAGGAGAAATTAGGAATCGTCAGGACACCGTAGACTTAAACTAGAAATTTAGTAAAAAGATCCGTGTCGCTGCAATACATCATCTAGTCGAATACGATGCTTTTTCCAGGATACACGCAGTGCACACCTCAATTTAATTTCTGTCGGATCTTGACAAGGGAACCAGAAACCTAAATTCTTCTTTCTTTGAATAGAAAACTGCTATGCTGATGCGACCTTAGTGTTCTTAAACATATAAAAAATAATCAATACTACAATTAAGCTGTTGGCTTACCTCAAATCCATTGATTTTTCATCAATGATACCACAGCCTATTTGCTTTTTGTTGTTGTATTTGTAATTGTTGTTGTTGTAGTTGAGTTGTTCGTAAACCATTTGACGTTGCTACTGCGGTCGGTGCTTCAGCTATTGGCGACGTTGCACTGCCTGTTGTTGTAGTTTTAGTTGCAGACGGTGTTGCCGAGTTCTCACTGCTATTATCGTCCTCCGCCATTGTACTTGTGCCAACTAATTGCTTATCCGCGGCCGTGGGTGTTGTGACTGCCGGTGGCGTAGTAGGTGTCAGCCCGAGCGATGGCTCCGTTTGCAAGGAGTTACGTTGAGTGAACTCACCACTACTTCTATCGCCATCCTCACGACGAGACGCTGTACCATTAACTGCTCCTGCTGCTGTCGCTGTTACTGTTGCTGCTGCTGTTGCTGTGGCTGTGGCTGTGGCTTCTGGCGCGCCGGTGGGCGCTGACGATAGCCGCAAAACACGTAACTGATGACGTGGCGGTGGCGGTGGATGATAGTATGATTGTGACAATTGTTGTCGCTGCTGTTCGCGCTTGTTGTGCTGCGGTTGTTGTTGTTGTTGTTGTTGTTGTTGTTGTTGCTGTTGATAGTAGGCGTGTTGCGG